CGCCCGTGTCCCCGCCATCTCTGTGCCGGGTGGCGTGGCTGCTGCCGCGCAGGCCACAGACAGCACCGCACCCCGGTTTGGCCCGCTCCCAGGTGCCTGCCATTTTCACAGACGCACCCCCTCCCAAGTGTGCTCCCCACTCTTTCCACCGATTACTAACAATTTCTAAAATCCTGCCCAAAATGGTTTCATACAATCTATCCACTCAACACACCAGTTGGAAAATTTCATTCACTTATACACCCACCCACCCACCCACCGATTTATCCATCAACCATCTGTCCATCCATCCACCCACTCACCTATCCATCTGTTCATCCATCTGTCCATCCACCCGTCCACCTGTCCACCATCCCTCCCTCCAGAGGCCTGTCCCACGGCTGGGGCATTGGCGATGACAGAGGCCCGTCCTGCCTGCAATGAGGCGGCAGAGGCCCCATATCCCTCCCTCTCCCCGCTCTCTCTCCATGACCCCCGAGCCAGGCTGCGGCCAGGACAGTCTGAGTCTGGGAGGGCAGGGAGGGAGGATTTGCCCCTTCCCACAGCAGCCTTTCCTGCCGCGGCCATGTCTGGAGACGGCCGGGCGGGTGCTGGGCTGGCAGACTGAGCCTGCTCCAGGCCCTGGCACTGCCTTTGGTCTGTTTCCCCCTCGACCTTGGGCACCGGCGTTCAGTCCTTGTTACTCGCCCAGTCTAGCGGGCGGGCTGCTGCCCTCCTCTCCTGCTGCTCTCCCCTCCCCGGGCCGGTGCACGGATGTGCCACACAGGAAAGCCTGGGGCCCAGATGCCACTCAGGGCAGGTCCTGCCAGGGCTGAGTGGGCAGGCTGGTCACAGCGCAGCGCCTCCTGGGGTGAGGGTGGCCACAGGGAGACCTCAGGGCCACACGACAAGCACTCGGCACCCGGCCCATGTGTGGTGCCAGCACTGCCTGGTGCCCGTCCTGTCCGTGGCCTCACCCCTGCTCCTCTGCCAAGTGTCCCCTCGCACCCGCCCTGGCAGGTCTGCCGTGGTCCATGGAGGTGGTGGCCGTGCTGGTCACCATCATGAAGAACCACGAGAGGCTCCTGGACATCCAGCTGAGCGCCTGCGCCCTGCTGCTGCGCACCCTGGGCCAAGGTGGGGCTCGGCGCTGGCAACGCTCCTCCGGGCACGGACGGGGAGGGGGGTCTCAGGACTCAGCGCCGGCTCCCACCCCTGCAGCCTTCACCCCCTCGCCACAGCCCTCACGGGGACCCACTCTGCCCTCACACACAGCGAGGGGGGTAACCTGGCCCATCGGCCCGCAGCCCTTGCGCAGGACCCGGCCGCCACTGTGCGGAAGGGCGGCTCCATCACCTCCGTCCTGCTGAGCACCCTGCGGAGCCACCCCGAGGCCCAGCAGCTCCTGGTCATGGCCTACAGCCTCCTCACCATCGTCTGCAGCCAAGGTGGGTCCTGGCTGCCGCACGGCACGGCATTTGGTCTGTTTCCCTCGCTCGTCCTTCCTCTCATTCCCTCAAACGTGCAGGGCACTGGCCAGTGCTTCCGCCCAAGTCCGTTTCACATCCAGCCTTGTTCACCCCCCTTCACAGGCTCCTGGGCTCCTGGGGCCGCCGGCCAGGCAGGCGGGGCACCCCAGGGCCTCGCAGCCTCTCCGGGTCTGGGCCGTCTGCTCCTGGCGGCTGGGTTCTGGGTGACTGACTGGCGGACCCGCTTGAGGAAGAGCAGGGCGCTGTGCACGGGCACACGGGAGCCCATCAGGGCTCGGGCACGCTGAGTGCCAGGCCACTGGGGGAGAGTGCCACCTGAGGACCGGCCGCTCTGGGCCCCGGGCGGGGCTGGGTCCTCAGAAGGGAAGTCCCCTCGGCCGGGCTGCACAGGAACTTGTGGCCCAGCAATGTGGGGTGCACGGGACTTTGGTGCCCGAGGACAGAGGGGATGGAGGTGGCCTCTGGGCTGGGGGTGGTCTGGGCCCAGGTGGTGATGAGCCCGGGCTCCATGGCCCGCATCCCGGCCCCACAGGGTGCGCCGCGGAGGAGCTGCAGAAGGAGGAGCTGTTCACGCACATCCTGGAGCACCTGGACTCCTGCTCCGGCAACAGGGAGGTCTGCATGGCCGGCCTGAGCCTGCTCTGGGTGCTGCTGGTGGACGGTGAGGTCCTCGCCCACCCCTCACGCACCGCAGGGCGAGCTGGCCTGTGAAGCCCCCCCGAGAGCCCGGAGCGGACCCACGCCCCTGCCGTCAGAACTTGGCTGTGGCCTCCTGGCCTCACTTTTTTATTTTTTAAACATTTTTATTCATTTCAGGGAGAGAAACATCAATAATGAGAATCACTGACAGCTGCCTCCTGCATGCCCCACCCTGGGGATGGAGCCCGCAACCTGGGCCTGTGCCCTGGTCCCTAGGTTGGCGCTCAGCCACTGAGCCGCCCTCATTTTCTCATTTTTGATCCAGGGAAGGAACCGAGGCCCAGCAGCACCTGGGCGTAGTTCTGCCTCACATGGGGAGCCTGCTCACACCCAGTGCACAAATCCCCAGGCAACCCCCAGGACGCCGAGACCCCCCACCTCGGCCACCTGGCCTCCCCCCCCCCCCCCCCCCCCCCCCCCGCTTTCTGTGTCAGGGTTGGCGGGGCGGAGCCAGGGGGCACGTGTCCCAGGGCCGGCACCCCACCTCCCCGTCCTGGCTGCAGCGGACATGGCGGACAAGGCGCCCCTGGAGAAGGCCCCGGGCCTCATCTCGGGGCTGCTGGCTGCCTACCCCCAGGACACGGCGATGGCGGAGTCTGGCTGCGCCGTCCTCTGGCTGCTGTCCTTGCTGGGTGAGGAGCGGGCCCGGGGCGGGGTGCCTGGGCCCGGGTGGTGATGACCCCGCACCGCCCCCCGCAGGCTGCATAGGGGAGCACCTGCTGGAGGAGGTGGTGGTGCTCTTCCTGCGAAGCCTCCGGTCCGGCCAGGACCGCGTCCTGCTGGTGAACAACGCCTGCCGGGGGCTGGCCAGCCTCGCCAAGGTGTCGGGTGAGCGGCCGCCTGGGCCTGAAGGCGGGGCCTTCACTGCTGGGAGGGGGCTGCCAGGACCCTCCCTCTGCGGGAGGCTGAGGTGCAGGGGGAGGGGGGAGGGACTCACAGCAGGGCTGTCCCAGTCTGGAGGGCAGGACGCCAGTGAGCGAGTCAGGGGAGGGGTGTCTTGGCACCTGCTGGCTGTGTCCCCAGGTCACTCTCACACAGGCTGACCCCTGACGCGGGGTGCATGGAGCACCCCCACGCCCTCCCCACTAGGAAACAGCCGGGCCTGCCTCAAGCTTTGCACCTGCAGCGGGGACACTGACCTAGGAGCCCTGGCTGCAGGAAGCCAAGGCTGCCCCACCCCGTGGCTGAGGTCCCACGCTCACCCCACTTCCCAGAGGACATGGGGCTTCAGGGAATGAGCCCTGTCCTGCCTCCCCGCCCCCCTGCCCCCCAGAGCTGGCGGCGCTGCGGGTGGTGGTGCCCGAGGAGAAGGGCAGCGGCCTCAGCCTCATCAAGGACACGTACGAGCTGTACAAGGACCACCCGGAGGTGGCAGAGAACGTGTGCCTGCTGCTGGTCCACCTGGCCTCCTACCGTGAGCACCCGCCCCCCGCACGCTGCGGGCAGGGATCCCTGCTCCCGGCTCCCCCTGAGGTGTCCCATTCACACGACCGAGTGCCCGCCATGCGCCAGGCTGGCAGGTGCCAGCTCCTGAGCCCCAGGTCGGGTGTCTGTGCTAGGCCTCAGCAGGCTGGGGCCCAGCCAGTCCTGCCAGCCGCCTCGGGAATGCCTGAGCTGGGGGTGTGGGCCGGCTCGGCTGGGAGGGGCTCCCGAGGGAGAAGGCCTGGCCTCAGGACCCTCCTTGCCCACAGCGGACACGCTGTGCGAGCTGGTGTCCAGCGGCATCCAGTCCCTGGTCCACGAGATCAAGGATCGCTTCACCTCCAGCCTGGTGAGTGCGGGCAGTGCTCTGAGAACCAGGTTTCCACCCTCCCCCTCTGCCACCATCAGGCCAGGAGCCCCAGGGCAGCACCTGAACCTGAGGGCATCCATCAGCTTTCAAAGGCAAGGACTCAGACACCTGCTGTGGAGCTGAGACGGGCCCTCCCTCCTCTCCCCTCCCAGGAGCTGGTGTCTTACGCGGAGAGGGTGCTGCAGAGCCTGGAGGCGGCCAGGCTGCCCTGCTCTGCCCAGGAGCCTCCCGCTGCGGCCCCCAAAGACCAGCACCTCCGGGTCCCCGTGCCCGTGCCGTCCGCCCTGCGAGGAGCGCCCGCCGACCGGCCTTTTCCTTAGGGGGGAGAGGCAGGGAGGGATGCGTCTCGGTACAGCCCTCAGCCCCGGCTGGGCCAGCGGCCGTGTCGGATACCACCCTTCCGGAACATTCTGAGCGAAGACTCAGGCTCCCCAGCCCCACCTCAAGTAAAGTACACTCAGTTCACTCGTGTCCTCGGTGGGCTGGACCTTCTGTACCCGTCGGCACAGCAAAGCCTCGGGCTTCAGGCACCCGGTGCTGCCCCCGCTGAGACCCTGGTCAGACTGCACGTGGGCTCCGGGCCGGGAGGCACTGCAGGAACAGCCCGTGCGGGCGGCCTGAGCGGGTTAAACTCGGCGGGCAGTGGGGTGGGAGGAGCACTGCCACCGGCTCCGGGTCCGGGCGGCCACAGGAGACTCCTCGCGAGGCCCGGCTGGGCTGGCTGCTGACCTCCCCATCCCTGCGGCAGAGGGAGGGGCCTTCGTGGAGGAAGGCGGGAACACCTGGCTGCTTCTGCCCTGGGCCGCCTGAACCCGCAGAGTGGCTGCCACACAGACAGGGACATGGTGCTGGGTCCCAGCGCCACCTGCCGGCTGTGCCAGGATGCACGGTTTTCCCATCGGAGGAAAGGGGTGGCCCTCAGCAGCACGTGTGCCTCTGCTCCTGGATCTGTCACCTCCGGGAGACTCCATCGGTCCCGTGTCTTGGTCACAAGTGCCTGAGGACGGAGACGCAGCCCCGGGGGGGGGGGGTGGGCTCCGCTACGCGTCATCTGGAGCGGTGGCCGGGGCGGGGCGCCTGTCCTGGACCTCGCGCTCCCACTCCTTCTTCACCGTGACGTAGAGTCTCATTGCTGCCTGGGCATCCTGGATCTAGGTGACACGGACACCCGTGACCGTCCAGCAGGCGACATGCATGGCCCATGACAGCCAACCCCCGTTCCCGAGCTGGGCCAGACCCCGGGGAGTGGAGGAGAGCAGGGAGTCCTGGGACTCGGTGCCCCGGACTCCGGCGGAAGCTGAGGATGAAGGCCCTGTGCCTGGGAGGACCTCGGCCCACAGCCAGCGCCAGGGATGCCTGCGGGGCCCAGTGCCAGGCACAGGCCCAGGCTGACGACCACAGCGTGGTGGCTGGCAGGTCCCAGGCCTGTCAGAGGGCTGAGGGGGCCGGCTGGCCTGGGCCAAGCCCTAACGAGGGTCTTCCTCCCCAATTACAGCAGTTGTTAGTGCTGTGCTCCGTTAACAGAGACGTTTAGAATCTAACCCTGGTGAGTCCACTGCCAGGTCAGTGTTTATGGAGCAACAGCCTCCAAAGGTCTCCAGGGCCATGGTGTCTGCTCAGCACTCACCGAGCAGTGCTCCGCCTGCTGCACCCGCACGCCCAGGATCCTCTCGGCCAGCAGCTTCAGAGACGGCCTTCCGCTCTGGGGAGAGGCAGTGTGCTGGGCAGAGGCCTGCAGGCACGCCCACCCGCCAGCCCACAGCCCTCCGAGTCCCGCTGCCCGGAGTGGCCTGGGGGGTTACCTGCAGCTCCACCCCCAGTCCCCTCCCCGCACATCCCAGAACCTGCCCGACGCCATGGGAAACTCGTTAGGTTACAGGGAAAACCAAACCTCCAGCCCATCAGGGACCAGAAGCAACAGCTGTGTGCCTAGCAGGCGCCGTACCTGCACCTGCCGCTGGAAAGGCTTGTATTTCTGTGTGTCGCGAACCTTCTTTCTCGGGTGATCAAGGAAGAGGACCTGAAGGAAAGAGGGACGGTCACTTTCAGTTTGTAGCTGCAACTCCTTTCTTTCAAGTGACTTTTTGCAAGGAATTCCCACACAAAGCACACGAATGAAAACAGGGACCAAAGGGAATCTGAGCTTCTGGAAGGAAATTCCCACGCTGACCGCAGATGATGCCCGACAGAGAGCACATCCAGAGACGAGGCTGGTCCGCTCCTGCATCTGAGCCGGTGCCGCCGGGGCGGCCGCGGCCGGCCACGCAGCCTCAGGCGGCTCCAGGGGGAGCGAGGCCGGCGGGCAGGTGGCTCTGGGTGGGGACGCTGCACCGGGGGCGGAGCACCGGCTGGTTTCCAGCAGTTCAGGGTTTACTCGGAAAGGCAGTGGAGGCCATCGGCCATCACGGAGCGGTCCCTGCACGTCCGGGGACTCCAGGGTTCCGTGGGCCACAGTCTGAACAACCCAGCTAGGCAGGGCTGCCTCCTGTTCCACGGGGACAGACCCTCCAGAAGCAGAGGCCCGAGCCACGCCTTCTGGGGCACCAGGAGTGGACCCTGCCGCCTGCCATGTGTCCACCAGAGGCTGAGGAGGTGAGGGGGCCGCCCGGACTGCTTCCCAACAGAAGGGGCCCCGACCTCGCAGGAGCCCTGTTCACCGCGACGGGTGAAGGCTGCAGAGGCAGCGGCCCGGCTGTGTCTCCGGGGAAGGTGTTAAGAGCAGGGGCAGGGCCTGGCACTAGGTCCGGGCTCACTCTGGAGCGAGAGCTCACGTGGCAGTGCCTGTGAGGCTCCGAGGACACAGGAGCACGCAGGAAGCGTGTCCGAGGCCGTTCCCAGTGCTCCCGACACAGGCAGACCCCAGGACACGGCGGGGCTGCGGCAGCCGCACCTTCAAGTCGTTGTGCAGCGAGTGTCCCACGAGGATCCGGCCCCGCAGCATCTCAGCCACCTCCTTCTGAACGACTGCAAACGCTTCCCCTGAAAGCAAGCCAGACGCATTCCGAGCGGCAGGAAAGCCGCCGCTGTCCGGCCAGACCTCAGGGCCCGCAGGCCGAGTTCAGATCCGGAACGAGGACAGCAGGGAGCCACCTGAAGGCTCACCCAGGGAGGGGAGACTTGGGATCCTTGTTACGGGGAAGGCTCCAGAACAGGGACCAGAGGAGAGTGAGCCTGAGCCCGCCCCGCCCGTCCTCTGGCTCATGGCCGGGAGCGACCCACCCTGCTGGAGGCGCTCGGGCCGGACGCCGCTGACCGCCGTCCTGTAGTCGGTCACGGGCTGGGTCGGCTTGATGTACTTGTCGTAGACGCACTTGCCAAACTGGTTCACCACGGACACGCGGGCAGCGAGGCTCTCCTCCCCAGCGGGGCCCACGCCCACCATCTCGCAGTCCAGCGCCAAGGCCTTCGTCAGCCTGAAGGGACAGAGGCTCCCGTTTCACTCCCACGGCGGGCCCCCGGGGACCGGCGCCGCCAACGACCAGCTCTGTGGCCCCGGGGGCGGAGGGCCCCCCCACCCCGAGGCGCAGCGCGTACCCGCCGAAGGCCTGCCCCTTCACCAGCGCCGCGCCGCTGTCCCCGGCGCCCAGCTGCCTCCTCGCGATCTCGGCTGCCTCCGGGCCCATGGCCGCCTCGATGTCCACCGGGTCAACGTCATCGAACCAGATGTCCGGTCTAAAAGGCGGAGGGACGGCGAGTGGTGAGTGCGGGCCGGGGAGACACCCCCACAGCTGGCCCAGGGCCCCCTGCTCCTGCCACTCCGCTCACAGGACACTTCCCCTCTCACCGTTTTCCTGTTCAGTTAGAAAATAACTTAGGAACCGCAGGTAAACGGAGTGGAAAACAGAAACGTCAACCCCCCAGGCCTGAGTGTGACGGCCAGCAGCCGCAGCGCAGGGTGAGTGTGTGCCGCTGAAGGACGTTCTCAGTTCCAATGTCCCTTCCCCAGGGACCGCTTGCTGACCTCACTAGTGGACCTGCTCCTCCTGGAGCAACTGAGGTACTGAAATGCCTCCCCCACCGGACCTCAGCCTCAGCAGGGAGGGCCCCTGGGGCTGCTATACTTCCTGACAGCGAGCCCGGCCCGCACAGTGACACAGGCCGCCTCAGACTGCTGCCCACACCCCTCAGCAACTGCCACCCAGCGACACGCACAGGCCCAGCCACAAGCAGGCCCCCTCCAGCTGAGCCACTCAGGGGCGCCCTGACCCCGGGCCCTCCCAGTGAGTGACATCACAGGGTCTGCTGAGTAACCACAGGGCGCTCAGCCATCATCCCATCTCACAGACCCCCGCCCCGCCCCGCCCCGCCAACACTGATGACCACCGGGAGGCCTTGCCCAACTAGCAAGGGGCAGGGACCGGCTTCAATGTTCATTCATTCCACGGATCCTCCCCGGAGCCACTAAGTGCCCAGCTCTGGCTGGTCCCGGGCACAGCAGCTGGCCCTGCCCCATTCTGGGTGGGCCTAAGGAGTCAGGCTCCATTGGCCAGGACTTGTCCTTGGGGTGCACACGACAGGCTGGGCGGCCGAGGAGGCACCGCCAGTCCCAGGGGAGAGCCGGCCAGTACTTACTCGGTGGGCGGGGCTGGGGTCGAGGCTGCAGTCACCTCCTTGGCTTTCCGCTTATGCTTGAGGTCCCCTCGTTTTGGAGAAATGTCACCATTTGTCCTCTTGGCTGCTTTCTCAGCGCGCTCTGCTCCGCGGGCCTTCCTGGGGGGCCCCGGCGCCCTCCCGTTGGGCAGTGATGCTGGAGGAACAGAGCCCGTGGGGGCCTCTCCGCCTGCCTTTTCCGTCCCCACCTCCTGGCGCTCCGCTTTCCCGTCCTGCCGGGCAACCTGGGGCTGCTTTTTGGAATCCCGCGGAGAGAGAACCAGAGGCTTTCCTGGGGCCTGTGATTTCTGTTTCAACACCTAAAATAAATACACGACAATTTCAATGTGGACATCACACACAGACCGAAAAAACGTGCGTACGTACACGTGGAAGACAGCAGAGGGGAGGGGAGAATGTGTGAGTGAGGCGCCTGGACCTGCACCTGCCAAGCGCTGCCACTGAGGCCAAAAAGGCCGGGCCAGCCCACCTTCAGGGCAGGGACTGTGCCAGGCTCCCGGCCCTGCCCTCTGGCTGGGACCTGGGTAAGGTAACCTCTGCGCCCCGGTCCTGTCTGTGAAACGGGGGTGGCAACGGAGTCCCTCAGTGTTGCGGGGCTGTGAGGCCAGGACGCGCAGGATGACGCGCGGGATCACGTGCGGCGCCTGCACGTCTGCAGAGCTGGGCCCCTGCTGCTTGCTGGCCTCCGCACGGGCCGCCCACTGTTTCCCTCCCCTCCGCCTCCCGGGCGGCTGCCAGGCCCCACGCGGCGCCCTCGTCTCCACCCGCGGCCGGGCGGGCGCGCTCACCTCCTGCAGCGCCTTCCAGTTCTGGGAGAAGGCCTCCGGGGCCCTCGGGGGTCGCAGCGCAGCCGCGGGATCGCCCCCCGGTTTCCCGCTGGCTTCTTGCGCCTTGTTTTTCCAGAATCTTTTCTTTTTCTTCTTCTTCTCCCGTGGGAGCTTCCCGGCCAGCCCGGGCTGGGCCGCGGGGGCCAGCCCCGTGGCCCTCACCATCCCCCGCCGCCCGGGGCCGCCGGCAGCCGCACCCCCTTTGCCCGCCGCCCCGGCTCCGGCAGCCGCACCCCCTTTCCCCGCCGGCGGAGGGGTGACAGCGGAGGGAAGCCGGCCTCCCGCACCGGCGACGAACCCGGAAGCGGCCCGCGTTCTCGCGACACGTGCGTCCCCGCGCCCGGAAGTCCGCCCTCTCCCGGCCGGCGGGAAGCCGCGCCCTCGCCTCGCGTTCCGCACGGAGGGCGCCGGCGGGGCTGTTTCCCGCGGGCACGGGGTCCCCTCAGCGAGCGGCGTTCGGGGCCGCGACGTGGGGTTGGGCCGGGCGAGCCCGGTCGCACGAGGTCCGGGATCGGGGGGAGACGCGCCGGCGCCCGAAGGGAACCGGGCCGCGGCCGGGGTGGCGCCCGGCGGGGCCGGCGGAGCGGGGCCGCGGCCGCCAGGGGGCGCTGGGCGGCCGGGCGCCGCGGGAAGGGGACCCGGTCCCAGAGCCCAGGGCTGCAGAGGCTTCACGCCGCCCGGGGTCACTCCCAGCGGCGCGGAGGGGCCCTGACCGGCCCCACTCCGCGGATAGAACGTGGCCTGTGGCCTGAGGGTCCCGGGTTCCATTCCGGTTAAAGGCGCGGACCCCGTTGCTGGCTCCATCCCCGCCCGGCGGACACGTGCGGGAGGCAACCAGTGGATGTCTCTCTACCATCACAGTTTCTCTCTCTCCCAGTCTCTCTAAAAATAAATGGAAAATGTCCCATAAAAGAATAACAACAAAGGCACAAACCAGAGAGAGGGCCAAACGGCCTGCCATCGCCTCACGTACCCACTGTAATAAGCAATGGGCCGCACCCCGCCGGGCCCTGCTGCCCTGACAAACACGGATCAGGCCTCCCTTCCTCACGTCCCGGGAAATACAGGGTCGCTGGCAGCTACAGCGCTGGTGACAGTGAGGTTGACGCACCCAACAGGATGCAGGACGCCCGTGCAGGGGCTGCAGTGTTGGGGGCGTGCTTACACTGAAACATGAAGGATGGTAGCCATCACCTCAGGTAGAAACTGCTGTTGGGATTCTGTACTTTTTGTTCGCTAAAACAACAGAAAGTTATTCTGATTTTCTGAACGTACGTATGCCAACCCAATACTCCATGGGCGGTGGTTTGAATGTCCCATTGATTGTGGTCTCACTGGTTATCAAAGCACATTCTTCTGGGACCCAGGACAGATCCATTACCCTAAACTGTCTCAGTAGCTACAGATAGTGCATTCCTGTTGACTCAGTGGCCCCGGAATCTGGACAGCACAATTATTCTAGATTGTCCAGATGGTCCGTCCCAGAGGATGTGTTTCTGTCGATGCAGTGATTCTTAGATACTTCAGGTAACTAATGTGCTCAGTTTCACTTCTGTAAAAGCTTTGCACGAAAACAGGTTCCTCATTCCAGACCCAGAGATGTAATCGATACTTTTGTGATATAAGGCAAGCTGTTCGGGGCTGCGAGATCTGGAGCTTTATCCCCTCGTATGCCTCCGGCCTTTAATGAATGACTCCATAATTCGACCTTTTTTGGAGGCGTCCTTTGTGAGATTCGGGGTACGTCACAACAACACACACCTGTAACATATACATATATGTAAAATAACGTGTACGTAATGTTGCTTATCTGAGATTCAGATTTAACTGGTAACTCGGATGGGTCCTTCAGGGAAGGCCTTTTTGGTGAGGTGACAGTTGAGCTGAAACATGGATGTGAGGCCCGGGGTCAGAGAGACCAGCAAAGCATTGGGTGTACCGAAGGAGGGAGAGAAGGCTGGTGCGCTGGGAGCAGCGGAGGGCAGGAAGTGGGGAGGGCGGGGAACGGGGGAGGGCTGAGAGGGCGGAGGGATGTGGGGGGGTGGAGAGCAGGGGGGAATTGGTAGAGCCTCAGAGGCCGCAGGAAGGAGTCTGGACAGTGTATCTCAAGGGCAAAGGTTGTTTTAAAGGCAGGAGTGATGCAATGGGACCTGCGTTGTTGGAAGTCGCTCCCGCTCTGGGTGGGAAAGGGGGTGGGAGTGAGGGCGAGGGAAAGCAGAGACCAGGCCCAGGCGGTGCTGGCTTGGGGCCCTGTGTCTCCAGGAAGCAGTCACGGAGAGTTGGGGTGCCCACAGCAATGGGGTGCGATGCCTGTGAAAGACAAAGGGGAAGCAGCTGGGGCCTCGGGCCGCCAGGCGCTCTGACAGCTGAGCAAGGACAGCGGTTTGGCTCAGCGGAGGCAGCGGCATCCTCCCGTCCCCGAGGCCCAGGCCGAGGAGAGGGGGCTGCGCCTGCGGAAACTCCCGGAGGCCCGGTCTGCCAGCCAATGCTTGGAGGGGGGGGGGTGAGGAGGGAAACGGCCTCGGAGTAGTGGCCGGGCAGGTGTGGACGGCCGGGTCTGCGATGCCACCGCCCGGCTCTGGGACTGTCTGTGCAGGCCCCCAGGCAGCAGCTGGAGGAGGCAGAGAGAGCAGTGTTTGCGGGGCCTGAGTCTGCCCCCGGGTGAGGAAGGGAGGGGAGAGGGCCAGGCCATGGAGAGGAGGGTGTGAGCGAGGAGAGAGGCTGGTGGGAGCCCCTGCCCGCAGTCCTGCAGGCTGTCCTGGCCACAGCGCAGACCCCTGGGCCGGTGCTCCCTCCTCGGGTCTGGGCACCTGCGTCCAGCGCCATCCCAGGCCTAGGTGGCAGCAGGGGGCACCCTGAACCGGCCCCCGTGGCCCCTGCCCTGGGAGGACGCTCCCCAGAGTCAACAGCCTGATGGCCCCGCCCAGCACCCAGCGGGTCTGTCACATTCCTCCCCGGCCAGATCCCACGTCTCTGCCCAGATCCGTCTCTGGCAGCTGGCTTTGCTGAGGATGCGGGAGCTTCGCCCTCTGGGGCCCTGTGCGTGGGGAGTCCTCGCCTCTGCGTGCCTCCTCCTGGGCGGCTGGGGCCTCCCCGGTGTCCAGGTGGGTGAAGGAGCCCGGGGACCTGGGCTTCCGGGGCGCTGGTGGAGGGCCCGGGGAGGGGGTGGCTGCCTTGGCAGGGTGGGGTGCTCCTTCAGCTTCTGGGCTCGCGCTGGGTGGATCTGCACCCGGGTTTCCGAGAATGGCGGGTGCTCCCAGGAGAAGGAGGGGACACTCGTGCCCAGGTCCCCTCCCTCGGTCTTGCCTTGGCCCCGCCCACTCCCAGGGGTCTCCCTCCCTCCCCTCACCGTCCTTCCTCTCCTGCAGGGACTGCTGCAGGCTTCCCAGCCCCCGGAGGTGACTTCCTCCTCAGGCCCTGATGCTGCCTCCCCAGGTACTCGTCCTGGAGGTGTCTCTCTATTTGGCGGGGGAGGATGTTGGTATCTCACATTCGGGCGGGGGGGGGGGCGGCTGGGGTTTTGGTGTCTCCATTGAGTTGGGGGCTGGGGTTTTGGTATCTATGTTGAGTTGGGGGGCTGGGTTTGGGGGCCCCGCTGGAGGAGGCGGAGCCGCAGCCTGGCCCGCTAATGAGCTCCATTACTTCCTGTGAAGCCACAGCAGCTGGTCTGGGTGCTCTGACCCCGGGCTCTGCTCAGTGTCGGGGCACAGCCACTCATTGGCCGCCCCTCGCTCCTGGGCCTCCCGGAGCTGCCCGGCTTCCGGAACCCGCGGCCTCTGGCCGTGGATGTAAATATTTATGCTTCTGTGAGAGCAGGGCGGGTGCTGGCCCTTCCCGGCCGCAGCCTCCCCCTTCCTGGACCCTCCGGGGCCTGCTCCTGCCCGAGGAGGGCCCCTGTGACTTTGATCCAAAGTCTGGTGGGGACCGGAGGCCGGGGGGCCGGTGGTCTTGGGAGAGAATTAGGGGTGTCCCATTGTAGTGACTTCCCTGTGGTCAGAGACACACTGACCGGGGCCTGGGGTGCGCTGGGGGCGGTGGGGGGCATTGGGGAGACCCCTGGCTCTGGAGGACCATGGGGCTGTGTCCTGGGCTCTGCTTGGTGACCCTGCCCTCCACTGTGTGTCCGTGTGGGGTTTTGGGGGGACCAAAAGGACACTAACGTCATACACCGGCTCCTGCCCGGGCCCCACGCTGCTCCCCAGGCCCCGAAACGTGCGGTCGCTGTGGGACCTCAGCCCTTCGGCTCCGCCCGCCCTCCATCTGTCCTGAGCCCAGCAGCTTCTCTCCTGCGGCTGCCCGGGCGCCATGGCTCTGGCACCCGCGACACGAGAGCCCAGGACCGCTCAGCCCCGAGGGGTCAGCGGACACCTGTCCTCAGCCTGTTCGTGGGGGTCTGGGGCCAGGGCGGCTCCAGGAGGCCTGGCAGGGCTGTGAGGGGAGGCACAGGGCCGGCCACTCACCCGGCCGTCACCGTGCCCAGCAGGCAGGTGCTCTCATGCCCCTTCCCGTGAGGAAGCTGGGGCCGGGCCTGCCCACTCCCGAAGTGCAGGTGCCAGAGGCAGGACTCCAAGCCCAGGAGCACAGGTGACAGCAAGGCCTGGCCGTGGGCACCGGGAGCGCTGTCAGGACCGCGAATCAGGCGGTTAACGCCACAAGCCACCAGCTTTCTAGAACCTTCCATCTCAGCCCGCCTGCCGCTCCCTGCCAGGCCCCCGGAGACAGGCCGCCGAGGGGAGCGTCCTGCACCTGGAGCTGCTGGTGGCCGTGGGCCCCGACGTGCACCAGGCTCACCAGGAGGACACGGAGCGCTACGTGCTGACCAACCTCAACATGGTGCGTGCTCCGGGCAGCCCGGGCGTGGGGGCCACGTGCCAGCAGGTCCTCGGAGCCTCGGGCACCGTCCAGGCCGGGCTGTGGCGTGGCCGCGGCCGGCTCGTCCGCTGGTGTGAGATCTGAACTGAACTCTGGTGCAAATCCGGTCCAAATCCAGAAGGATGGCAATTCCCGAATCCCGCTGTTTCGTTTTCCGTTCTGCGTCGGTGGTTCTTCCTGAGCCATGAGCGTGGGGGTGGGGTGGGGGGGTCCCGATCCCGGCTGGCTGCCTCCCTGGCTGCCTCCCAGCCCAAGGCCCAGCACTCGGGTGCCCCCACCCACACGCTGAGGAG